ATAAAATTTAACATGCATCAACCATTTAACCCAGCAATTGCACTACTGGGTATTTATCCTACAGAAATAAAAATGTGTATTCACATAGAAGCTGTACATGAATGTTCTGAGAAATTTTATTTGTAATAGTGTAAAACTGGAAACTGTCCTTCAATAGGTGAATAAAAAATTGTGTAATTCATATAACAGAACACTCTAAATACAAGGAATGAACCATATTTCCCACAACAATCTAGATGGCTCCCTAGACATTATTTTATTCTTATTTTTTGGTACTGGGGATCAAACTTGGGATCTTGTGCTTGCCAGGCAGGTGGCAGAACCACTGAGCTAAATCCCCGGCCCTCCCTAGTAGACATTATTACTTTTCTTTTTATTTCAGGCTGGCCTTGAACTCATGGCAATCCTCCTGCTTCAGCCTCTCCAGTGCTGGGACTACAGGTATGCAATGCCACTGGCACAGCTGGCTGTTTCATAGTTTTCAAAAATCCAAAGAATCGTGCCAGGGATGTAGCTCAGTGGAGCCACACCTTCCTAGCAAGTGCAAGATCCTGAGTTTGATTCCCAGTACCAGGGAGGGGTGGGGGGGGAACAAAACAAGAAACAAAGGAATGGAGGTTTTCTTGGGAGCCCCAGGAGCAGCATCATAAAGGAGTACACGGAAACATTTTTAGTCTGTCTAGGAAGCTCACTGAGCCGACAAGCCTGCTGAACGCAGCCCTGCCAGGGCCTCGCTCACCTGTGCACCTCCCTCCCAGCATTGCCATGTCCATGTCCTCCATCACTCATCCCAGGCTGGAACAGCATCATTCACTGGGGCTGGAGGACACATCCGCCTCCTGGCCCCTGGTGTCTGGCTCAGGTGAGTGCTTGCTGTAGAAGCAAACATGATTGGATAGGGAAATGAAGGGATGAAGGGAGAGGGATGGCATGGAGAGAAAGGTGAGCTGCAGAGCACCCTGGCTTCAGAAGAGTAGTGAAGAGAGGGAAATCAGGCCCAGAACCCTTCCTGCTGCCTGGCCGGCTCCCTCTGCCTGAGGCTGGCTTGGAGGGAAAGAGTCCCCAGGATGGCAGGCTGGTGGGCAGGCCTGGAAGAGCTAGTTCCGGGGGAATCAGATGGTATGAGGAAGAGTTTGTGTCCAAGGCCGTGTAATCATACTCTCTGCACTTGGTCAAAGGCCTATGCTGGATATGGGGAGATGGTGGGCAGCATCTGGTGCTTTGGTCACGAGAGAAGGGAGAGCACCCTGAGTGAATGTTCCTTTCCCACCACAGGGTGGCGGTGCAGCCTAGCCAACGTCTCAACATAGGCACTGCTTCCTTGCATCGTCTGAGGGCAGTCTCCCCAATTTAGAAAGACATTCTGTGTATTTATTTATTTGTAGTTTAAATAATAAAAAACCAGAATCTATGTGGCAAACTTATATTTGCTATTTTTAAATAACTCCCGGGAGTTCTGCCTTCAAAAAGGCCTCAGTGGGCTGGGGATGTAGCTCAGTGGCACCACGCCTGCCTGGCAAACACAAAGTCCTTAGTTTGATCCCGTTACTGGGAAGAAAAAAAAAAAAGAAAGAAAGAAAGAAAGAAAAGGCCCTGGGGCTGCCAGTCTGGCTATCACATGTCCACAACTGCAGCCCGATACCCTGGCGGCTTTGCCCTCCTCAGTCCGCAGCTGCCCTCTACCCGATTCCCTCACCTTCTGCATGATTGGCGTTCCATCTGTCAGAGACCATCTCCTGTCATCCTCTCCCTCCACGCTTGCATTGCTGCTGGTGCCTGCGGCTTCCTGCAGTTGATCATCCACCACCAGAGTCTCGGCCTACTTGACGACTCACCTCTGCCTCATTTTAGTCTGCTGCTTGGATGAGAAAGTCTCCTCTGCTACTCTCAGACTATAAGCACGTCCTCCTGCTCTCCACCCTTCTCCTCTTCTCCCTGGGCTTTGCTTGCTGTGCAAGCCTGGCCTTTTCTCCCCTAATCTCCACTTTGTGCTGCTTCTTTAAATGCCCTACTGGGGTCATCTCCCTTCTGTTGTGATTTTCGAATGTTCTAGGGCCCCAGTTTCCGTCATTGTTCTTGTTCAGGTCACCACCGACCCCATGCTAAATGCTAAATTCCAGAGGCAATTTTCAGCTCTTGTTTCAGCAGACATATCAGCAGCATTTGACGGCTGATTTACTGATTCCTTCTTGAAACATTTACTCGATTTACATCCAGGTTCCCACACTCTCAGGCTGCCACCGTCCTGGTCTCCTGCTGCCTCTCTCTGACCGCCAGAGTGGAGATCTTCCCTCCCCTCCCTCCCTCGGTGACCTCAACTGCTCCTCCTTTAAACAGCATCTACCTGTTGATGACTTACTATACTGCAGCTCTAGCCCAGGCCTCTTCTCTAAATTCTGGGCTTCTGTAACCAACTGCGTCCTTTGAGTTTTCCCTTGGATGTTGTCCAACAGCATCTCAAATTTAATACGTCTGACACTGAACTCCTGTCCCAAATCTGTTCTGCCCAGTTTCCCAGACAGGACAGCTGCAACTCCACCTTCCAATTGTTCCAAAACCCGTGGGGTGGTGGCTGGCTCCTCCAGCAGCCCCGCTGATCTCACAGCACCCCTCTGTCTCTCTCACTCCCCGCTGGCCAGGTCATGGGATCTCTCACGGGGAGCAGAGGCTCCCGTCCAGCTCTGCACTTGACCTTCTAGTCTCTTCTCCTCGTTGCCAGTACAAGCTGCAGTTCCTACAGCAGGCTGTGAGGTGCTAGGTGATTGCTTCTTCTCACCAGATTGGGTACAAATTACAAAGTTGGATGATACTTAATGAAGTGGAAGGTGTGGGGAGATATACATATATGTTGGAGTGCAGTTTATTAATTTCTATTAAAATGTAAATCAAGCATTCTCTATGGGCCAGGAATTCCACTTCTAGAAATTTATGCAAATCCACAAGTGGACAAAGATTCATATGTAACGGTCACTGCCGTGTTGTCATAGAAAAACAAATAAATATGGCACACCCATGCAGTGGAATGCCATGCACAATAACGGGATAACACACTGGAAACATCTCCAAGACATAGTATTGTTTTCTTCTTTTTGAGACAAGGTCTCACTAGATGGTCCAGGCTGGTGATCCTCAGTCTCCTGTCGAAGATACATTATTAAGTGCTAAGGAGAGACTAGATCATTAACTAGAATAATATTGTTTAATCAATGTCTATGTGAATTTTTATTTTATTTTTTTGGTACCAAGAATTGATACCTTGGGTCCTTACGCTCAAGGCAGGAGGCAGAACCACTGAGTTAAATCCCCAGCCCTTTGTTTTGTTTTTTTGAGCCAGGGTTTCACTATGTTGTTCAGGTTGACCTTGAACTATGTAGCCCAGGATGATCTTGAACTTGCTGTGATCCTCCTGCCTCAGTCTCCCAAGTGCTGGGATTACAGGCAGGTGCCACCAAATCCAGTTGTATAATATTTTTAAATTTTTTTAAGAGTAGGAAATTTTATTGGGGAATAGGAATGGAGAATAAGACTAGCTCTTTAGGGCCAGGAATTTAGCTCAGTGGTTCTGCTGCCTGCCTTGCAAGCACAAGGTCCTGAGTTCAATCTCTGATACAAAAAAAAAAAACTCTTCAGACCCAGGCAGGGTCCCGAATGGGTTTCCCTGTATGTGATTTTAAACAGTTCTTTCCCATTCCAAGATCATGCTCAAGAAATGTTTCCTCAAACTGCATGTTAGCACATGCTACCTACCTTGCCCTGGTGCCTGATAAGGGACCTTTCTCCAGTCAGCCCACACTTCCCCAGGGACCAAGGTGACAGGTGACACGAGAACACAGTCCAGCAACAGACTGATCAGTTCTGGGTGGGAAGAATGTGGATACTTTGGTTTCAGCTTGGAAGAGGTAGAATGGAGAATCAAGCTCACCATGCCAAAGTCTTTTCTGGAAAGCAAGTGGGGGAAGTATTCTGCAGATAAGTCTGTTCTAACTAGAAAATGAGGAGATCCATCAGGTTCAATCAGAGAGAAGGGCTTGAGAAACCAAGAAATAGAATGGGGAGGAAGCAGAATTTCCTGAACTCCCATGGGAAAGGGCAGAAATTTGCATTTCAGTGACAGTTGCTCTTATGCCAGTAAAAGCAAAGACGGTGAGTGAGGAGCCTGGGAATAGCAGGAGGAGGAGGAGATAAGAAAAAAAAAAAGGGATCCTCAGTTAAAAAAAAAAATCGGACTCCATCCTTCTCTAAAGGTAATTTCAAAGTGATTCCTTTTGTTAAGAGAGGACAGAGAGGGTGGGAAGAGTAGAATGCTGAGGAGAAAGTCTGGCTGATAACTAGCTGGCCTAAACTGATCTGCTATAATGAGAAAAACCAGTCTGGAGAGGAGCTGCAGCTTTCTGAACGAAACCAGACTGGCACTCTTGTGCTCTCCAGCCTTGCCTGCTAGGACTGATCTGCAGGAGCAGCTGAAGAGCAGGCCGAAGGGCAAAACTACGGGCCCAGCAAGGGCCCAGCAAGTCCCCACTCCCATCAAGCTTCGACACTGCACAGGCCCCGCCTATGCGGTCTTCGTCTGTCAAGAGACAGGGGCTGCCTGGTCAGGGCTACTGTAGGGCTGGTTGATGTGGCAGGTGTTTGTTTCAATGAGGAAGCCTAGAAAGACACTGCTAAAGGAACTGGTAAAAGGGAGGTCCTGTCCCCCTTTCTACCCTCCTCTTCTTTGGTTTGTCAGAGTACAAGACTGATATCCAGTACTACAACTGAGATTTTGCTGTTTTTCCCCATGCTAGAGATTGAATCCAGGGTCGTTCGGATGTGACACAAGTGCTCTACCACTGAGCTCATACTCAGACCTACAACTGAATCTTTCTTGGTTCTTCGAGACAGGGTCTCACTAGGTAGTTGAGACTGACGTGGAATTCACTATGTAGCCCAGGCTGATCTTGAACTCACGGCAATCCTACTGCCTCAGCCTCCTGAGTGCTGGGATTACAGGCGTGCGCCACCACGCCCAGCTAACAGAACTGAGTTTTGAATGCGCCTGGTAATACTCCCTGCCCAGGCAGCTCTGAAGCCTATAGCGTCAACATAGCAGGGCACATAGGCCACGTCTCCAAGATCACACCTCCCACACACAAACTGTCCAGAGTCCCAGGCACAAGTCCAGGGTTCCAAGTGTGTGTGCTGCCAGGCAGTCTTCAAAGTTGTTGTGGGGAGGCGGCCAATGTCAGTGCCATTAGGGTGCTTGGGACCAGAGTCAAGTATTTTCCTCGCTGGCTGGCCCGTGTCAATGACCTGGTTGCTCTGGCTCACTTGTGGGTCCTTGCCTAGCTTCATGTCCAACAGGAAGTCCACAGGAAATCTGAAATAGCTCTCAGAAGCCTGGACCTTCCCCAAGGGCTCATTTCTGCTGTCCCCCTCTTAAGCTGACAGTGTTAGAGCCGTGCTCTTGTTGGGATGAGGTACACACTGGGCTTCCCTCTGATCCTCTTCCCTCAGTCTGAGATTAGAAGGCGGCAGAAAGTTGTGTGACCAGTTATCTCTACCTGGCCTCCAGGCCTGGAAGCTCTGAACTGGCTTGTGAACCCCCTCCCGTCTCCAGGAGCCTGAAGGACACCCTCGGTCATGGGTCATTCTCTCCTCCTCCCACTCCAAGGGGCTGCCCAGCCTTCTGCCCACCCAGGGTAGCCCATCCCCCCAGGTACAACAGCGTTCCAGGCCCATGCAGGCCTTTCTGCAGCCTTCAGTTACCTCTTAGCCAGCTCCCCTGGTGTGTGTGTGGGGGCTGCCCCCCAAGGCCCTGAGGTCCTCAACCTGGCATCCACACAGAAGCCACTCACCTGTCCACCCAAGTCCTGGCACACAACAAGCTGAGTCAGAGTAGGGAGGGGCCTCCACGTTTTATTAGGGTTACGGCAGCAGCAGAGGCTGGAGGCAGAGCAGCCAGATAAATTAACCGCAGTGTGGGTTGGGGAGAGGCGACTGGGCCAGGTGCTTTTATATAAAAAAAAACCAAAAACCAAAAACCAAAAACCAAAAACCAAAAACCAAAAAAAAAAGAAAAGACAACAGACCCCAAAGACATGGGGCAGGGGAGGGCAGCACCATTCAGACAGCAGGGAGGACCAGGGCAGAGAGAGAAGGCAACTTGTCCTCCTCACCCTCAAAGTCCACCAACATGGGTCCTCCAGAATGGCCCCACGGGGGCTTTGGGCCAGGGGAGCAGCCAGGTTGGGCAGAGATGGCACAGCTGGTGGGCAGGAAGCCCAGCACCACAAGTTGGCTCAGCCTGATGCAGGAGCTGGGACACATGGCCTTGACCCTCCAAGTCCCTCAGAGGAAGAGCCTTATTCTGCACAAGTGAAGGGACCAAGGATGGGGTCTCTCCCTGAGCTGAGCGGAGTCATCTCATACACAGCAGCAGTGGGTAGCGGGGTGTATCAGGGACCCCGTCATCTTCCCTCCACTGAAGGCTTTAGGGGTGGGACGTGAAGAGGACAGGATAGTCTGTGCTCCCCAGCTGCAGAGGGACTGTGGTGGGTGCTGCCCCTCAGCCCTGACTCCCACAGGAGGAGAGCGAGTCATAGAGCGAGTCACTGAGGGACTCTGAGGTCTCAAGCCCTGGAGCGCCCCCACTGGCCACTCTGCCTTCCTCGCCCATGTCTGACGTGCTGGGGGTGCGACTGCCCCCAAATACTGGGCCTTGGGGCGTAGCAGGTGGACGGTTGGGCTCCAGGTTCCGCTTCCGGTCCACAGGCAGGGCCTAGAAAGAAGGGACTGCTGGGAGGACACTCCTACCACCTCTTGGCCCAGGCTGAGGGGTGGTGCCACTGGGTCCACTGAGGTGGGACCAACTTCAGAGGAGGTGTGACTACATCCAGTGCTACCACCGCTCTAGCAGGTGACAGAAACTCTCTCCTCAGGAGGCGCAGGTGAGCTGCCAGAGTTGGCCTCCAGGGCTGACCTCCAGGGCTGTGCAAGACAAAGGCTACACCTCACCCAAGAAACCCACGTCTGACCCAACTGCCCCCTGGTTCTTTTCCCTTTTTCCCTTTCTTCAAGTCTCACCATGGGGGTCCTGGGCAGCCCCTCCAGTTGTCGGGGTGGGCACAGGAAAGGGTCAGAGGAGCTGCTGGCTGCCCTGGTGTTGGGGAACGTCCAGTTCTTGGCCAGCTGGACGGGAGGGGGAGGGCCTGAGTCTTCGCAGGGATCTGTCCAGGAACAAAGGGCAGTGGATGGAGCAGTCCAGCAGGGGGCCCACTCCTAGGACCCCACCCCCAGCAGGACACTCACCATCAGGACAGGCCGGGTGGCCCCGGTGGCTGGGAGTGGAGGTGAGCAGGGCGGGGAAGGCCGGCATGCTGGGGTGCCGCCCGCTCACCAGAAGCTCCTCTATGCCTGGCACCTCCCGCTCCAGGGTATGGGCGCGACGGGGGACTTTGGTAAGGGCTGGGGGCCGGGCTGGGGGCAACCCTGGTGGGGGGTCCAGCCGTGGTGGCTTGGCCTTGGGAAGATTCTTGCTGGGGGTTCCACTGCTGCCATGGTCTGGGGGTGGGAAGGTCCCAATGCCACTGTCCAAGGTTCTCGTCAAGGAGCCACAGGCTAGGGAGAGGGCATGTGGCAGGTGTGAGGTGGGCATAGCCCAGTCCAGGGTCCCCCATGCCTCAGAGCCCCTCCTGGTCCAGCAGCCTCATCCCAGATAACCTCCCCTCATCCTGGACTGGGAGCAGGTATCCCTGAGGGGGGAGGGAAGGGGTTCTTCCCGTGTAGCACCAGGACCCAGAGCTGGACACTAAAACGGTACTCAGAGGCTGGCACCTGCCACGACGACAGGAAAGTGTAAAGAGGGAGGGGTGGGGGCAGTTCCCGTCCTCAGGCCGACCCTGCAGACCTGTGAAGTGTGAAGTGGGTACTGGCTCAGCCAGGTTGTCCTCCAAGGGCATCTCTTCCTGCCTCCCTGGCTCGCTGCTTGGCTGTGTGGGTACAGAAGACCTGAGTGTCCCCTTCCGTTCCTCCCCAAACCCCTAGAGTCTGAGCTGGCTCGCAGGAAGCTGCTCTCCCCTCCCCAGCCCCTTTCAGCACGCTGTGACTTCTGGGTCCCAGGGAAGGGGAACCCTCCAGAGAGCCAAGCCCTTCTACCGGGCTCCTGTCCCAAGAACTCACCTTTCCAGGAGGTTTTCTGCAGCCCTGAGGTGGGCCCACCAGGCCATTCCGGGGCCCACAGGCTGGCCAGGGGCTCTTGGGGTCGGAGGACACAGGCTGGAAATCCCCATACTCAGGCTTGGCCTCCCGCCAGCTCTTTGGTGGCAGCTCCTTACCATCCACCCTAGGAGCAACAGTGCAGAAGGAGGTGAACAAAGTCGGTGCCCAGCAAGCATGCTGGCTGCTAGGGTCTGAGTGTCCCCCAAGACTTCAGGGGTTGAGTCTCATCTTCACTGTGAAATAAACCTACCCTGACTATGTTGCTGAGAATGGACCTCTGGGGGGAAGGATCAGCATTGGATATGGTCTTTAGGGTAGAGCCCTCAAGACAGAATTCTTTACCAAGAACGGTGCACACCTACAGTCCCAGCACTTGAAAGGCTTCCACAGGAGGATCACTGTGAATTCGAGGCCAGACTGGGCTACACAGTGAGTTCAAGGCCAGCCTGAACTGCACAGCAAGACCCTATCTCAAAACAAACCAAAACAAGAGAAATACCAGCACAGCCATCCATACCTGCAGGCTTAGTTTTTTTTCTTTTTGGTACCGGGGATTGACCTTGGGTCCTTGCACTTGCGAGGCAGGTGGCGGCACCAGTGAGCTAAATCCCCAGCCCTGGCTCCTTGTTTCTTACTGTACAACACCCTATGGCACCTCAGTACTGAATGAAGCAGAAAGGCAGGCCATCAGCAGATGAGGCCCCTAGAGGTTGCACTTCCAGAACCATGTGCCAAGATAAATCTTATTCTTTTAAAAAGTAGCCTACCTTGGGTATTTAATTACAGTAATGAGAAACAGATGAATGCGCCAGCCTTGCACCCTTCAATGGTGCAAGGTCTAGTGAGGCACTCCCTGCCACCCACCTGGGGGAAGGGGACATAGCACTGGCAGCTGTTCCCATCAACCCTGACACTGGCAACAGCAGGGGAGAAGGAAGGAGACCTCCTCCGAAGACACCCAAGATCAACACGTTCTGGCACATTGGAAGACCAGGTCTCAATCTTGCCTGTTCATAATACGCCCTGCTTTCCCCTCTGATCATACTATCCAAACCTTGTGCCAGCCCACCCGAGCCCTTCTTCTGCACTTTCTGCCTCATGGGGCTGGAAAAAGCAACCCCAAGATGAGTGGGCTCCTCCTCCAAAACACAGCTCCCCTTATGGCAGGTGCTAAAAGATGGGAAAGGGACTCTCCTTTTCCCTTCCTGAAGACCTTCACCAGGTCCTGCACTCACTGTACTACCGTATGCAGGTACCTTAGGCCACCCCAACTGACACAAGACAATCCAGTGAAACGGGACTGTTTTCAACTGAGAGCTGGTACAGGCAAGGGTGACGACAGCCAGCCAATGACAGAGGGAGTAGAGGCGATTCAGCCCTCAATTTTCCTGCAGGTGAGGCTGCTAGCCTGTAGAAGCTCTGGAGGCCTCCTATCACCTTTGACTTCTGGAAGCCCGAGCTTCAGTACAGTCCCAGAGCAGAAGCAGCCGTGTGCCCAGCCCAGTGGGTACCTGGTGTCGCGAGCCCTCACCTGTTGAGCAGCTGTTGCATGAAGGTGTCTGCACCCTGGTACATGCCAACCAGGGGGCTCTGCACCTGTCCCAGACCCTGGCCGGGTCCTGAAGCCGAGCCCCCGGGCCGTGGGCGGGTCCTGCTGCTCAAGTAGGCCTTCTCCTCCTCCAGGGCCCGGCGCAGGTCTTCCGCTTTAGCCATCAGCTTGGAGATGTTGAGGCTCTCAGGCTCCAGCTTTCGGGCTTCTACCTTGACCTCCTTCCGGAGCGGGGAGACCCCACTGGCCCCTTCCTTGCTCTTGGTGGCCTCTGTGCGGCGGTTCAGGGCTGGCAGCTTGCTCTTCTTAAGGCCAAACCAGCTGGCAATGCTGCTGGTGCTTCGGTGCTTGGCCTCAGAGCCTGGCGCCCGTTCCTGGCCCTGGAGCCGCAGCACATTCTCCTCGATGCCCTTCATCACCTTCTCCTCAATGGCTGAGTGTGGGACAGAGCCCTCAGGGCCCTGGCTTGGGTTGGGGGGGCCCGGTATTGGTGATGTGGGCTGACCTGTGGCACTGCTGCAGTCTGCCCAAGACGAGCCCTTCCCCTTGTCAGGCTTGGGGGGCTCCTTCGGGATCAGGGGAGGCCCGGGTCGGGGCACCACCTTGGTGGGTGACTTGGAAGGTAGCTTTGTAGGGCTGCTGTGAGGACTTTTGCTGGGTTTTCCGAGGCTGGGGGCTGAGGTGGGCACTTTTGCAGGGGTGCGGGGAACCTGGGGACACAGGGCTCCTGCCAGCCGACTCTTGGCCAGTTCCACTTTGGTGAGGCAGCTTCTTGGTGAGACAGGCTCTAGGTCCACACGGGCTCCCATGGAGTGGGAGGAGTAGACTCGGGCCACAGGATCCCCCAGTCCAGGTTCCTGCTGCTTCAGGCTGCTTGTGCCTAAGGCCACTGGCCCCCGCAGAGGCCCCTTAGCCTCTGGCTGCTCAAGGGGTCGAGTGGTGGGGGGAACCACGTCTCCAGTACTCTCTCCTGACCTCCCTGGCCCCCGGGCCTTCTCAGTGCCAGGCCTGGCTGGCACCCCATTTTTCTCTGGACCCAGGGGCCCCTCGGGGCCTGTCTTTAGCTTCCCCAGGGCCACCAGTCTGTCCCGCAGGGGTGTGAAACTGGGATCCCCAGATCGCCGCCCTGACCCCTGGCCAGGCTTCTTGGATGAGCTGCCTGGGGTCCTGCGGCCAGGGTGGGGAGACTCCAATCCTGCCTTATCAGAACTCTTCTCTTGGGGGCTTCCACAGGGGCAGGATTCTGAGAGGCAAGGGCTAGGGGGAACTCCAGGGCTTCTGAGGACCTCAGGGGCCTGTGGTACCTCGAGAGTCAGCAGTGGGGAGGGGGGTGGCTCTGGGGAGGACCCTTTAAAGGTGCCCCGGGAGAGGTCCAGGATGTTCTCATAGCAGGGAGACACCACTGGGCCTGGGGACAGTGCGGTGGGCAAGGCTGACTGGGGGGGTCTGAGCTGTGCGGAGTCCGGGATGGTGGAGCAGAGTGAAGGGCTGGTGGGCAGACCCTGTGCCCCCTCTGGGGACAGTTCTCCTCCACCCAGACCTCTGCGGGCCAGCAGTGGGGAGGGGCTGCCATCTGAGCCACTGTTGCGACAGGGGATTCTTGAGTTCCTGGGAAGTTGGGGGCTGAGCTGGGGGCCACCCGGACTGGGGACTTTCTCTGAGGCTGGAGGCAGCTTGAGGAACTTGAGACTTCTGGCAGGGGAGGGCAGCAGGAGTCCTTGGGCTTCCCCAGGAGAAGGGGGCCCCATTTGGAGCTTGCTTTTCACCTGAGATGAGGAGTGGGGATGGCCGGGTTGCGACCCCAGTGGGACGTCCTCTGTACACACGAACTCGCTAAGGAAGGGGAGGGACCCCTGGCCCTCTGAGGTAGCACCAAAGCCCAGTCTGTGGGCCTCTGGGGTACCCCCACCCCAAGCTGTCTTTGGGAGGCCTTTGGATTTGGACAGCTGCAGGGGGCCCTGGTCTGGGGAGGATGGGTGCCCAGGACCTGGGTGGTCCCCGTTGAGTGGGCCTGCAGCCCCGGCCAGGAAGGCCTGTAAGTAAGTCTCTGTGTCCTCAAGGAGCTGGCCCAGGTTCAACTGCTTTCGGGCCAGGGCACCCAGCAGGGTGTCGGGGCTGGGTGCCTCATTGGGGTCACCTGCCTCATCAGAAGAGGAGGAGGAGCTGCTGCCTGCTGCACAATGTGGGCCGGAATTGGTGCCCTGCACCTGTGGTGGGGCCCTACTAGGGCCCCAAGGCCGCCTACTATTCTCTTCTTCCCCTGGACCCCCCAAGAGGCGCTCCCAGTGCAGCAGACCTCCCAGGCTACCAGGGCCAACTAACAGGTAGGGGGCCCAGGGTGAGGGTTCAGGCTGTGGGGGGCCACATAGCTCGCCGTTGATGGGTTCGGGGGAGCCAGGACCCTGGCCTGAAGGCCGCCAGGAGGTGGCAGGTGAGCACAGGAGCAAGGGGTCAGTCTCTTCCAGGGCTCGCAGCACCTCCAGAATCTGGGCTTTCTTCCGAAGGAATGGGGACAGGGCATCCAGTGCTGAGGTGGGGACAGATGGGGGGCCTGGGCCTCCCGGCCGCAGCTGCTGCTCCCAACACACCTGGGTTGGGGGAGAAGAGACATGAGGAGATCGTGTGCAGCTGGCATCCGACTCCAGGCCCAGGTCTTGAGCTGGGCATAACTGAACACACTAGGACCAGGGCTGACCTGGTTGTGTGTGTCTGAGTCTCCAAAAAGAATTTTCAGCTCTTAGGATATGAGGGCTCAGCTTCCTCAGGGGTTGCTGAGCCCTAGTGACCCCAACTCTTGTCGCTGGCTCACTTGGGACAGGGTGGGCACCCCATATCCCCTTTCTGATTATCTCCACAGCTGTTTGGATTGGCACAGCTGACCAGCTACAACTCCGACCTCTGTTTGTCCCAGAGGGGAGGCCTGTTCATTTTTCAGGCTCTGGAAAGAACAGTGTGTCAAGAAGGTACGTGATGTGGCCAAGACCTTATTCAGGCATGGAAGACAAGCCCAGGCCTTCCCTGCTGACCTGGTCCCTAGTGGGAAGAGAGGACTGGGGAAGACTCCATGAAAACCCTTCCCTGTCACTACTCAGCCTCTCCTCAAGTCTGGGACAGTGCTTAGCCACACTGGGTCAGACTGTGTATGTTCAAATGCCAGTTCCACCGAGCTATCTGACTTTTGGTAAGTTATTTGACTTCTAAGCTTCATGATGTCATCTGTAAAATGAGACAGCAATTAAAATGAACCTCATAAAGTAAGATAAAAGAGCCCCAGTGTACCCTGCACAAAATAAAGAGTTCAGCAAGTGTTAACTGTGACTCTCGCTGCATTACTAATGCATTTGCTCACAGGCCAGTGGCCGGGGGTGGGGAATCTTTTTTTCCTGGTATGAGGCCGACAGCTGAGGGATCACACTGGCAGCCTGGACAGGAGTCTGTACACGGGAAGCAGCCATTCCTGTGGGGCTCATTAGGAACCAGCACGGGAGCACCAGCTGACTGGCCCCTGGCCAGCAAAGCCACAGAACACTGTGCCCAGCACTCCTACCTCTCTCTGCCCAGCACACTGCCCCAGAGGCAGCAAGGTGGCTGGTCCCTCGGCGGTACTCAGGGAGGGGGAGGCTGGTGGCTCTGAGGGCGGCTGGAGGGGGGTGAGTGGGAGCTGCAGAGGAAAAGGAGAGTTAGTGTGGTTTCTATCTGGCCCCTCATGAAGCCCAGCCGTCCCTCCCAGGTGCGCCCTCCAGGAATGTCTCCTGCTCCACGGTGTGGCTCTTGCTGGTGAGAAAGAAGAGCCTCAGACACCATAGCACAAGCGCAGGCGGTGGTGAGGGAGGACTGGACAGAGGAAGGGAGGACCCTGGGGCCAGCGGGCAGTGCAGCTAAAATGTGGGCACCCCCTTGGCTCCAGCACCATGTTGCTTTACTGGAAGGCCTCGTCTTCTACTACAGAGAGGCCATCAGGAAGGGCCCTTTCTGTCTGACCACCTGTGATCCAAGGACGCCTGAGACTGATGCCTAGAGGGTCTTAGAGAAGAGATGGCTCCCAAACAGGGCTCATGAGAAAGGTCTACTCTGAGGAGTATAAAAGTAGGATTTAATCATAGACCGCTTCTGGTTCTTGAGAAAGTGATTTATTTCTCCTGGGCATTATGACTTTACCTGTTCCCTTGCCCTCACTTACCACAACTATAAACCTGTCTCCGTAGCATCTCTCAGCCTTACCTCTGGCTATCTGCAGCCAGCTCCTTTTACCTGAGCATTCCTGCTTCCGGTTTAGATGCTGTTTGGTGTTTCCATCGATCTCCTTGACCTGCTTTGGGGGCCTTTCTACCTTCCATGCACAAGGCAGCCTAAAGCATCTCTTTCTTTTTCTTTCTGTCATACTGAGGATTGAACCCAGGGCTTCACACAGTAGGCAAGCACTCTACCACTGAGCTACAGCCCCAGCCCCCTTTCTTTTTTTCTAAAGTACCTCTGTGCTCAAAAGCCTCCAACCCTGCCACTGCCCCCCTAAACAACTGACTTTCTCTGTGAAACCTAAAGCCTAGCCTTCAGGCACCCTCTCACCAGTACCAGTTCTTTCTCCTGGTGCCATCTTCAGCTCTTGTCACTCAGTGGACAGTGATCATGGAACTTTTTTGTGGGGGCGGGGAGGAACCAGGGATCAAACGCATGACCTTGTGCTTGCAAGGCAGTGCAGCGCCACTGAGCTAAATCCCCGGTCCCTGATCATGATCTCTTGATTTAGCCATGCCGGGCGGAACAGTTTGGTGCTCCCTAGGCTTCCCTGCCCATGAAGCTTTGCACATGCAGCTCTTTCCAAAGGGAATCGCTGTCATCTCCTTACAGAACCTGAGGGCTTGTCTCCCAAGTGCCTGGACAGACAGCACTGTCCCATATGGCTTTGTGGCATGCCTGTCTGTAGACCTGCCTCTCAGCAGTCCCAGCCTCCCAGGATTATGTCACCCTGCACAAGCCACAGCCCCGACGGCCCTGCAATTCAGTCCAATTCCACACATGTTGGCAAAGGTACTGCTTACAATAAGAATTAATTAACATTTGCTCAAGGAGCTTTCATCCTAGCATGGTACAAACTGGGAATCACATTAATAATGATAAATAGCTGCATTTATTGATCTCTGATGGGCCAAACCTACATATGATTTAATCTTTACAACAATCTGCAATATAGATATTTTTGTTTCCATTTATAAGACAAAAAAACCCAAACAAACAAACAAAAAAACCCCACAACCCTATAGTTTTTTTTTTTTTTTTTGGTACTGGGGATCAAACTCAGGTCCTTACGCTTTCAAGGTAGGCGGAGGAACCACTGAGCTAAATCCCCAGCCCCGCCCCTTCCTTATAGTTTGTAAAGTTAGGTAATTCACCCAAGGTTCTTTCTATTATATCATGTTACTCCTGGGAAAGGTAATCTGTTGTCCAAAATACCAAGGTATCCCAAAATTCATTTAGGTAAAACAATAAATGCCTTAAGGCTGCTCTCCTCTCTGTCACCAGTAGTCACTGAGAAGTGGTGAGCTGCATTGCTGTGCCTTGGCCTTAGGGGATCCTACGTGACCCTGCAGCAGAAGAGAGGTGTCTGCGGTGTACACTACCAACTGGGACCCAGTTCTGCACTGTCTGGGTAAGAGGGCTCCCCGTGAACAGAGGGATTCTCTGCTCAGGGCTTGTGGGTCAAGAGCTGCCTGGTTTGCATTCAGACAGAGCCAACATGACACCCCTCCTCCCACAGAAAGTGCTTTTCTTCTTGTCAAAATGGGAGGAGGGGTTGGCTGACCCCAACTTGCTGCTCCCTTTGGCCATGGGAGCTGCTCCTGATCCTCCCACCCCCATGCCTCAACCCACCTCTGGGAGTTCTGACAGAGTATATCACCACGTGACATCTTACCTCAGTCCCAGGAGCCTCCTGCTGCTTCTGGGGAAGGTGTGTGTCAGGACTAGCAGTAGAGACAGCGTCTATGAACACGTGTGCGCCCACGGAGGGTGTGTGCAGCTGTCTGCGCCCACAGAATTATGAGGACAAAGTGCCTTTCCTGAACTTTCTGCGACACCAAGCCCTGGGCTGCTTGTGCAAGGCCCCACCCCTGGCCCTGGACAGGAAGAGGCCATGTCAGTGGCCAAAGGGGCCTCTTGGGAGCTTGAAATAATTGCACTTGCAGCCTCCACCCATCTCCCCACATAGGGCGGGGGCACTCGAGAGCTCTCTCTGTCAATAACAAGGGATGCTATCCTGCTGGGTGGTCACTGGGAGGTGGGCAAACAGCCACACTTGTGAGGACTCAGGTCATTTTCACCCCATGTAAAGTGCAAATCTATGAGGCCGGGCAGGCCTTCCCTGAATGGCCACAGCCTCCACCGTGGAAGGGGTGCGGCTGATGACTGATGGCCTCCTTCGCAGGTAGAGAATGTGATGACCCCGAGGGGCAGGAAGCCGACTAAGGGAGAGGAGGAAGAAATGTGTGTGCCTACCTGGGACAGGGAGCCCGTGGTGAGCTGGAGTTTCTGCTGGAACAGGGCACTCAGCATCTGGTTCTGCCGTTCCAGGTCAAACACTCTCTTTTTCAGCTTGATGCACTCTTCCCGTAGGTCCTGTGCCCTCCGCCGGGAGGTGAAGAAGCAAAGGAGAGGATGGCAGAGAGAGGGAGAAGGAAGTGAGCACAGGGTCGGCACATTTTCTAGTTTGTTTACCTCCTTGGTGGGGTCCTTGGCAAGGGTCTTCCCGACTGTACCCAGGGCCTCTCCCACGGTAACTGGGCTTAAGGGTGACAATGTCTCTTGTGGCCACTCACCTTCTGGTTCAGCAGTGCCTGCACCACATGGTTGGCAACCTGGGGACAAAAAGTCAAAGGTGAAGCTGACAAGCGATGCCCCCCTCCCCTCCCAGGTGCAGTCCCACTGCAGACCCCACAGACCTCATCCAGACAGCGCTCATATGTCTCCCGCTGGTTCTCATTGGCCTGGGCAAGTGCCGAGTTCTCTGCCTGCAAAAGTGAAGGAGGATGAAGATAAGAGGAAGGCTTTGGGACTATTCTTCCTCCAGGGCAAATTCCTTTTGGGGAAGAGGAGACAAGGAGTCTACTAGCTACAGCCCATCAGAGGCCATCTGCAGAGAGAGACTGAGGGCAGCAGGAGTGCAGAGGTGAGATGGACAGGTTTTCTGTAAACCTCAACCTCAGGCAGTGAGGCCGGGGGCTGGAGAGACACAGTGGCCAGGAGGACACCAATGGGAGGGACCAAAAAGAACCTTCATTTTTTCCCTGGGCACAGGAAGCTGGAGAGAAGACAGTCTTTTTTTCTTTTCTAAGTTTATTTTATTTATTTATTTATTTTTGGTACTGGGGATCGAACTCGGGTCCTTACACTTGCAAGTCAGGCTCTGGAACCACTGAGCTAAATCCCCAGCCCTATTTGTTTTAGTTCTTGAGACAGGATCTCACTGTGTAGTCCAGACTGGCCTCAAACTTGTGGCAATCATCCTGCCTCAGCCTCCCAATCTCAGCACATGCTGAGATTACAGGTGTGTGCCACCACACCTGGCTGAGGACAGGGTCTTAAGAATGTGGCAAAGGGCTTTTGTTTGAGGATCCCTGCCCAGGTCATCTAACCCCTTCTTTCTTTCTGTGGCCTCTGTCACCACCTTTTCCCTAGAGTCAGTAAGAGCACCAAGGGGGAGAAGAGGTATTTGAGGTTAGGACAGCGTACCCAGTTCACGCTTCCTGTCCTCAGGCTGGAGGGCTAAGAGCAAGGAAAGGGCGTACTGGAAGAGCTGTGCTAACAAAGTGTTCAGCTTCCTCCAGCCTGGTCGAGGGGCCAGGAGGATGGGCCACCCCTACCCGAAACCCTGCCCCTGCCACACACACCTCCAGCTCCCGCAGTCGATGCAGAAGCTCCTGGCAACTGCCAGGCTCCACGCTGCCATCAGCACCTTCTCCCGGCACTGGGTATCCAGGGCCTCCGGGCATCTGGTCCATGGCCTCTGACATCAGGCCCTGAGGATGAAAGACAGAAGTCCCAGCACGCTATGCCAGGGCAGAGGAGGAGAGAGGACAGAGAGGAGGCTCTTCAGGGTTCTTAGAGTTTAGATTGGTGCGATCGTGTGCCATGGACATTGTAACACTCAGGCTGGCACACTCTTCCCATCGTGGGAACAGAGACTGTTCGTTCACAAACTCCCACGTTTGCATACACCCTGTCACAGGTCAGACGGGCCCTGAACTCTCCACAGGGAACAGCCTCAACCTGGCCAGCGAGTCAGCCTCCCTGTGCTGCAGCATCCACAACTTTTTTTTTTTTCAAAGTGCAACATTTTAATTTTACAATTATATTTGTGTGTAAGTCTTTATATAGAAAACATTTACATTTTCTCTGACTAGGTAGGACATGCCTTTGAATCTTTACAGGTAAGGTAAGACCACATGCAAACAGAAGGTAGTCATAATATCCTATTCTGTCTGAATCAGCTCCGTTGGGTGTTTAGGGGAAACACCTTTAAGAAAGTGTACATAGTCATAAAATGGAGAGTGTTAAAGGCAGTAAAAATGATATGGTACAAATGATTACTCAATTTTTAAAAAACATATGATATACCTTGTTTAGAGAGAAGTGGGTTTGGTTGCTGAGTGCAAATTGCAAGACAATTCTACACCTGTATTATTATGTATGCAGAAACATACATATCTGTGTTCTTGAGACGACCAGACTATAAGTACATTTCTTTTCCTTTTGTTTTCTTTGTGGGACCAGGGATTGAACTCAGGTCCTTGTGCTTGCAAGGCAGGTGGTAGACCACTGAGTTGAACCCCCTGCCCTTAGAAATACATGAAAAATTATTATTGTTTTAAATTTAAAAATTTTTTAGTACATGTTTACAGTGTCCCCATTTAAGAAACAACACCAATGTCTCCTAGTCTCAAAAACAAAAAACAAAAAACAAACAAACCCACATGTAATCCCAGCACTCTGGGTGGCTGGGGAAGGAAGACTGCAAATTCAAGCTCAGCCTGGGCAACTTAGTAACTTAGTGAGACCCTGACTCAAAAAACAAAAACAAAAACAAAAAAACAAGTCTGTAGATGTAGCTCAGTGCAAAGGCCCAGGGTTCAGTCCCCAGCACTACAAAACAAACAAAATACCCTATTCAAAACAGCAATAATAGCAATCTAAGGTAACAAAACAACTAGGATTTTGTCCTGAGGGTCTGTGGTCCCTTGCCTGGGGTGGGGAATGTGTAAGGCAGTGGCCCACAGACAAATCCTAGCTTCATAGCCCAAAGGCTCTTGCTCGCTCTGCTGGGGGAAAGCTTGCTTAGCTTGTTCACTCACTTGGTCAGCTTACTGATTCTCGGCTTCCCAATTCTGAAAATGGGCAGAGGGTCCTTCCTGACAGGTCACTGTGAATCACACGTGAACACCTGTGGGCAACACCCTGAGAAGTAGGCTGCAGTGTCACAGCGATGCTGGCGCGGGGCCCACCCCAGCGCTGGCTCTCATTTCACTTGCCCCTCTCCCTGGCTGTCATATCCTCCTCACACACTGGACAGTGGGCTGCGTCCTGTGTGCCTTCGACACTCCCCTCTCCGAGCTTCAGCTGTCCTAGACACCTAGACTGACAAGAGATGGGGGCGCACTGCATTGAGGGCCCTGCCTGACAGCCTTCGTGTGCACTCTGGCCTCTGCAGGGGCCACTGGCACCACCTTCCTTTCCTCTTCTCTCCTCATGGCCTACACTCCAGCTCTCCTGCAGTTCTGTAATGGTCTCCCCCACCACACTGTCCGCTCCCAAGGACAGGGACCTTGAACTCACTTCCGGGTGCAAACCCTCACTCCTGGTGTGCACCTGGCATGTCGGAGACAGACCAATGACAGAGCGACTAGTTTATCACAGACCACACAGACACAGTGGGCTCCTCACTGCTTTGCACTCGCCGTTCCTCTGCCCCCGCCAGATGTGTGCCATCATTACTGTCTGCAACTGATGCGTCTTTATCTCCTATTGGAGTTCCCACTTCTCTGCCAGAGCAAAGTGGTCACTTCCTTCTGCACAAATACTGTGGAGGTTTCCAGCAGAAGGGAAACCCTTACTGTAAAAGGCTGGACAACCCACCCACCCCTGACTACTCTGCTGCCTTTTCCTTGCCCCTCTGAAGCCTTGACAAAGTGGCTCAGAGCTTTAGGACCACAGAGGGGGGCCCCTGACACCTCATCCCTTGTACCTGAACCTTGCTCCTGTTCTCCATGGTGGGCCCAAGGATGCCTCTCCCACACACCCCTCTCTCCATCACCAGCATGCACAAGCCCTAGAGCCTCTCACCTGTCTTGGTTCTCTACCCAGGCTGGGATGCTCACTCTAGCAGCCAGAGCGGTCACCTTGCCTGTGGAGAAATGGAGATGATGTCAGCCATATACTTTACAAGCATCTCTTTGGCTTCTGCTGTGAGCCAGGTGCTGGGACATGGGGAAGAACAAGCTCGAAAGCCCTGCCTTTATGAAGCTGCCACTTTCCTGGCTGGGGGCAGACAGTAAACAACTGTCACGACAAGGCACTGAGAGATGGCGACCAGGCAGAGAGCCAAGAGAAGTCTAGATGAGATCCAGGTAGGAAGAGCACTCAGGGCAAAGGAAAGAGCCGTTGTTCAAGTGAGTCACACCTGGTGCTTCACCAGCTTCCAGAACACATGCTGCCTTCTCCAACCCTCATGACCACAGAGGGAGGAAAATGCTGTAATCCAGTTCCATGTTTGAGGAAACTGAGGAACAGGAAGTCATGCTGGCATACTCTCAGAGTATCCTGTGTGTGAATGTACCATAGTGGGAAAGGGGCTTCTGAAAATGGAGAAAAAAAAAAAAAAATAACTGGGTCGGGTATTTAGCTCAGTGGTGCCGCCACCTCGCCACCTGCTTCACAAGTGCGAGGTCGTGAGTTCGATCCCCGGTACCAAAAACAAAAAAACAAACCTGTGTAATTCATTTGTTTATTTTTTTGGTATGGGGGATCAAACTCAGGACCTTGTGCTTCAGAGGCAGGTGGCAGCCTCACTGAGCTAAATCCCTGGCCCTGTAATACTTATTTTTAACACTCCACAACAATCTAAAATCCTTTGTTCTTTTTCTTTTTTTGGTGATAAGTAGTTCAGACTGGCCTTGAACTCCTGGCAATCTTCCTACTTCAGCCTCTTGAGTGCCGGGATTACACCCATCTTAAAGTCCTTTTTTTATTTTTCCTGTTTTGGAGACAGGGTCTTGCTCTGTAGTTCAGGGTGAGCCTTGAACTCACTGTGTGGTCCAGCTTGGCCTCTAAAGTGGTGATCCTACTGCTTCAAGTGCTGGGATTACAGCGTGTGCCACCATGCCCAGCAATCCTTTGTTATTTTAACTGTGTTATGGATGTATTAGGTATAACTTGGTTTGTTCACAACACTGTCATGTTTGATTTATTTAGAAATGTATAGGCCTAGCCGGGTGTGGTGGCGCACACCTATAATCCCAGCACTCAGGAGGCTGAGGCAGGAGGATCACGGTGAGTTCAAGACCAGCCTGGGCTACATAGTGAGTTCCAGGTCAGTCTCAACTACACAGTGAGAGCCTGTCTCAAAAAACCAAAGAAATGTATAGGCCTGGAATAAAAGGAAAAGAAATTCAAGCAATATGTGATCCCTGGACAGCTCCCTCTTGCTCTGGCTGGAACTCCCATAGTCCTAGGAGAGGCCTGGCCCCAGAAATCACTAGCTTTGTCCCCAATCCTGCACCATTTATTTATCCAGGGCCTGGTATGTGCACATGTGCTCTATGAAGGACGAGAAAGCCGGGAAGGCTAAGGAAGAGAATAGGATAAATGGGGCAGTGTCCAGGGTCCAGAGAAGCATAAAGCAAAAGCTAGGATTTTGTGTTCTTCATGCAAAGACAAAATGCAAACAAAGGATGAAGTAGTTTAGTAGAGTATTTTCTCTAAAACAATAAAAAAAAAATCCAAGTCAGGAGTGAGGGCCATATTGTGAGGACTGGGCTGTGGACTTTGCGTGTGTGTGTGTGCACGCGTGCTGTGTTTTATGTCCTAAGGAGGTTGGAGCCACAAGCCAACCACTGCCATCCTCCAAATCTGAACCCCTACAGACCCCAGAGCAGGGCAGCCAAGTCCTGCTGTGATCTGTGGGAGACCTTCCTGAGGGTGACAGCAATGTCAGGCACAGCTCTGTAAGCCGCAGCTGGAGCCAAGCAGAGGCTCTGGAAATGCTGGATAAAGAAGGCTGTGACTCAGCCCCTTGTGCGAGAACCCTTTTAGCCTTTGTGCCACACTCTGGGACTACTCAGGATGGAGGGCCTTCTCCGCGTCTGCAGGGCTGCCACAGCAGAAGGCAGGAAGCTGCAACCTAGACATGTGAAGAGTCACCAAGGAAAGACTCAAATTTAAACTTAGGGGTGGAGAAAGGGGCTAAAGGAGTAGGGAAAGTGGGAAAGGTGGGGGAAAGCTAATAAGGGAAAAGAAAAAATATGAGAAAATGAAAAAATGGAAATGAAGTGTTTGTAAAGGGGGAGGGGGGAGGGGTGAAGGGAGGGCAGGGACAAGGGGAAAAATGAGAACCAAGACCTGTCGTGTAAAGGTACAAGATCCCAATAATGAATGTAACTGTACCGTATACCTAAAATGTACCAATAAACTGAATGAGGAAAAAAAAAAAAAAAACCTAGGGGTGGGAGGAGTGCACTTCTGGGAATGGGATTCAGAGTCTGAGCTTCAGATTTCTAATAAAATCCAGTCACAGTGGCATAAGCCTGTAATCCCAGCTAAGTGGGAGGCTGAGGCAGGAGGATGGTGAGTTTGCAGGCAGCCAGGGCAAATTAGAGACCCCAAGAAAGAGAAAAAGAGAGAAGGAAGAAAGGAAGGAAGGAAGGAAGAAAGCAAAGAAAAAAAAAAAGAAAGAAAGTGAGTTTCTTAAAGAAACTTCTTGTGTCTTTATCCTCTTCCAGGGAACACCAGGATGCACAGAGACACCACGTGACCTGCAGCTCCAAACCAGAGACTAACCAGGAACCTGGCCATTGGAAATCAGTGTATTTTGCCTACATCTTGGGGTGGTGGGGAAGGGCCAAACTAAGTCAGTTTTCCTGTGGTTGTCCATGTCAGTGTCCCCCTGGGGGAAAAATATTCCCCTCCTCCCTCAGGATTGACAACTCAGCACTCACAACTCTGTGCTCAGCTTTCCCCCTCCCCAGTCTCAGAGACCCTGGCCTAACTCCGGTCAGGATGGCTCTGCTTTCAAACACTCCTCCAAGTGGTCCCACGATGCACCCAGGATGTGGGTCCGGAGCACAGACGAGTCCAGGCTGGCTATAAGGGCTGGGAACTCAAACTTGAACTGGGAACTTTAGGAGGCCCCTCCCTACACACACAGGCCTGATTCACAGGGAGGGGACTTCAGTGCTGAGGGAAGAGATGGAAGGAGAGGGAGGAAGAGAGAGTGCTCTCTGGCTGCTCTCTTTGGTGGGGGGAGTTTTGGGCAGCTAGGGATAGGGGAAGGAAAACTGCTGTTCAGGAGTCTCTGGTAACCTGGGGATGTTGCCAAGTGGGTCTAGGTGACTGCTATCTCTGGCTTAGTCAGTCACATAGGGCCCTGCTTTATTCCTTGCCCCACTTTTTAGTGTACTGGGGATTTGCCTTGAGCTACACCTCCAGCCCCAGCCCTGCCTTCCCCTTTAAAGCCAGGAAGGGTCAGAGACTTGCAGGGCCTAAAAAAAAAAAAAAAAAAAAAAA